TGTTTTTTCTCAAGCGAGCCGGGGCGGTGGGGCCGAGGTGCCGCCCTCTGCTCACCCGCCCCTCCCCCCTTTCCCTGCCTGCTTCCGCTTTCTTCCAGGAGATCCGCATGTTAAAAAAAGTGGTGTCTGTCCTCCCGGTGAGTAGCTCCGCCGAAAGGCCTCCTCCTCCTCCTCGGCGCTCTGTGGCGCCTTTTATATATCGGGGAGTCCCGAGATCCTCTAGTCGCAGAGCCGGGGTCGTGGCCGGAGTGGAAACGCGGACTCGGCCGGGGCGGGGCCGCGGGGTTTGCAGAGTGGTTTTGCTTTGGTGAGAAGACCTGCTTTCCCTTTAAACAGGGGGATGTGCTGCGAACCACCTGCACCTACAACACGGAGGACCGGCAGAAAGCCACGGTGGTGCGTTAGGGGCGGTGGGGGGGGGGGGTTTCCACCCTGAATGCCCGCTCAGTTGAGAGCGGGAGGGGGCGGAATGTGTGCCCCACGACCTTCCTTGGCAACGGCTGTTGGCCAAAGATTTGTCTGCCACGCACACCGGCTGGGGTGTTGCGCCTGCCTACCGGCCGCGGGGGCTTCCTTGTACGGAGCTCAGAAGGCACATTAAACAGGCCATAACCCTCTGCCTTCGCCACCCGCCTTGTAGACAGAACTCTACCAGAGGTGGGCAGTCTGGCAGACCGTAGGCAGCTCTCAGCATCCTCCCCTCCTCTCCCAGTAAGGCCAGTGCCCCCCCTCGGGGGGGGGATCCTGAGAGCGGTAGTGAAAAAAGTAACTTTTCAGAAAAGCAATTTTGCGAAGCTGAAATGGCATCCAGCTCTGTGCCTGCCAATATTCTGCAAAGCACAGAATGCGGATCCTCTGGGAGCACACAGATTTCCAGAGGGGTGATCATGTTTATGATAAACAGTCATCTGTTGCAAGAGAAAGCAGACTGTTTGGTTGCTTTTGCTGGAAATAAACATGTTTCTCACTCTTAGGGTTGTGAAAATACGTCAGCAATGTTTTTTAAAATCCCAAATGCCAAAAAGAGGTGATGGCAGCAGGCTGTAGGTGCCCTTCCTTGTGACTTCAAAATCAGCCTTAAAAGGGGGGGGGGGATGTTGGAGAGCCAGTTTACCCAGGCAGCATGATTCATGGGGACAGCAGAGCCCAGCTTTCCTGAGTGCAACCTTTGGACTGCTTAACTACAGAATTATTGAGTCGGGGATGCCTTGGTAAGCATGGAATGATTTTAGGCCCTCTTCCATACCACAGGCAAATGAGATCCGGCCTCGCGAGGTGTGCTCGAAGGAAAGGGACCGGTTGGGGGCAGGAGAGCAAAGGGCAACGCTGGGGGGGGGGGCTTACCACACCACACCCTGGAGGTTCCCCTTGCGGGGGGGGGGGGGCCTGGGGCGGCTTAATCCTTGGCTTCTCCCACCTGCAGGGGGGCTTCGGCATCATGGATGAGATGTGTGTGAATTACATCCACTATTATCCCCTGACGGATCTGGAGCTGTGCAAAAGCGCCATCGACCGGGGCTACCTGCAGCGCTACTTCAAACTGGTGGACAGGTGATGCCTGTGGACCATAAAAGGTGGTATTTTGAGAGCGTGGGCAATCGTCTGCCTCCGAGGCTGGCTGGCAGGCAACCTTTCGTGGGACGTTTTTGAACAGGGTGGACCAGGAGGCTCTGGAGCTGTGGGTTTCCTGCAGCGGAAAAGAGGGCTGGGCCCGGTGACCCTTGAGGAGGCCTTTCTCTAGAGCTGTTGCCGTCCGGTGATTTTGGGCACTGCAACACCCAGGGCAGCAGAAGCTGGGGCTCTCCCCAGAGGGTCTGCACGTCCCTTTTTGTCTTCCCGACCCCCTCCCACTCCTCTTTCCCAGCCGTGATCTGAGATATGTCATCTTCTCTTAGGTTTGATGACGAAGCTGTCTGCACGTGCCCAGAGGCCTCGGTCACCCAGCAGTTCTCCTCTGTGCCCTGGAATTCTTTCAATAGAGAAGTTCTGCAGTCCCTTTATGACTTTGCTCCAATTTCTATGCATTGCAATAAATCCTCAGCTGTCCGTTTTGCAGTAAGTCCAGGTGGCAAACAGGAGGCAGAAACTCTGTGGCAGCTGTAACCGTCGCCACGCGGGGAAATCGGGGTGGTGGTGGTTTCCAAACTTCACGTGGACCCCCATATATATATATATGTTCTTTATATTCAGAAGTAAATAATCATCATTCTTTGCAGGGCGAATGGGAGAAGCAGCCCCTGCCCAGGATCACAGAGCCCCTTCTGGAGCCGGCCTCCCCCTGCGAGCACTACTGGGGCCGCCCCCCGGGCTCCCCCACCCTTGTCCAGTTTCCCACGCCAGGGGCCGTTTAAGCTGGACCACGAGCAGCTTCGACCCCAGCCTGGCCCAGGACGGATTCCCCTGCAGGTCAGCAGCAGCCAGAGAGGATGTTCTTCATTTTCTCCTCCCCTCCCTCCAGCTCCTCTTTGGCCTCCCAAAAAGAGCAGCTCTCCTGTCAGGGCAAGGGGGGGGGCCTCCACTCCCGCGGAGGCGTCACAAAGAAGTAGCCCTCCCCTCCCAGTGCAGCCTCCCTGGAACCAAAGCCTTGGCAGCCCCTTCCTGTCGAGGTCACGGTCGCTCGAGTGCCTCTGCAAGATTCACACCCATGCCCTTCAGCGATGTGCCACCCAAAGTTACTCCTTGCCACGGAAGGCCCCTGGTCCTCTCAGTACATCAAGGGACACCCCCCCCCAAGATGGTCACCCCTTCCCTGCTGAGGGAGAAAATCCAGGACCGGTGGCCCAAGCCTGGCGGCCTCCATCCTGGCCCAGAGAACCGCTGGCCTGCAGAGTCCCTGCCCATCCCGGTCCAGTCGGCAGCCGCCTTCAGACCATCAGTTCTGGAGCAGAGACGGACCCTGGAGAAGGAGGGAGGAGGAAACAACAGAATCAGTCCCTGGCATATGGGTGTGACACCGCCCCCCCAGCCCAAGGTCCCTGCCCCCCCCCAAGTCCAGCCACCTCTCTCTAGAGGATTGCAGGAAGCCTGAGGCTGCTGAGCCGAACATCAAGGCAGTGGTAGGAGAAGAGCATTGGGTTTGGCCCTCCACCCACCCACCTCCCTCTCTCCCTCCTTGGCCCTTCTGTCTTGCCGGTTGAAGATGCAGGTAGACTGCTGGGGTGGGGGGTGGGGGGTGCTGCCACACCAATCTTTGAAGGGCAGAGTTTCATTGGAGCCCCTCGTTTGCACTGGCAATTAGCAATCGCAAGTACAGGAGCCACTGTGGAAAGGAAGGAGCAGGAAATTCTCCTGAGAAGCCGAAGCAGTTCTGGAGGTGGGCTTTGCCTCCCGGAAACTCACCCATCTGCTCGTGGGGACAAAGCCATCCAACATTAAAGACATAACGCTACTGCTGTTGGGTGCGTTGGTTTTATTTCTTTGCCGATGGACTCACATCATAACCACTTGATTTGCAAAGGGAACCCCTCCACCCCCCAGTGCCTTCAACTGGGTTGGTGCTGCTGTTGCAGTCGTCATTCAGAGAGGTTCTGGGGACGACAGGAGGGGCGCGTATCTCTTTTGGGGGGGGAGCCGATGAGAGCTCTGTGGGCGGGATTCCAAAAAGGCCCCCCAGCTGTCCTCTGATGATGGAAGCAAGAGGGAAGGGAAGGGTACTCCCCCCCCCATTGCAGCCGGATTCAGCTTCTCTCGCCTCCTTCAGGTGCTGGAGAAATAAATGGCTTCTCCTCCTCCTCCTCTTCCTCCGACAGTCGTTCTCTCCCTTCTGGCCAGTGGTGCGGCTCTTTTCCCATCAGGCTCCATAGATCCCTTTCACCCTCTTGTTCTCCGGATCAAAGGGGGACTTCGTGTGGGCTTTGGCTGGGTAGGGGACCCCCATCCGCTCTAGCACATACTCGCCGCTTTTCACAAAGTCAAGAGAAACCTGAGGAGAACAAGAGGCAGGAAACATTCCCATCCAGGCTGTGCATTTCTTTTCCATGTGGGGAGGGGTAAAGGTATAGGTAAAGGTTCCCCTTGACAATTTTTGTCCAGCCGTGTTCAACTCTAGGGGGCGGTGCTCATCCCCGTTTCCAAGCCATAGAGCCAGCGTTTGTCCGAAGACAATCTTCCGTGGTCACATGGCCAGCGCGACTTAGACACGGAACGCTGTTACCTTCCCACCGAGGTGGTCCCTATTGATCTACTTGCATTTGCATGCTTTCGAACCGCTAGGTTGGCGGGAGCTGGGACAAGCGACGGGCGCTCACTCCGTCGCGTGGATTCGATCTTACGACTGCTTGGTCTTCTGACCCTGCAGCACAGGCTTCTGCGGTTTAGCCCACAGCACCACCACGTCCCTTGTAGGGAGGGGGCTGCCCCCCAATTCCTTACCCTCTGCACCCTTTCTGGCTGAAACATCTCAAATAGTTTGAAGCCTTGAACTGTATAGTTCAAGCCAGGCAACCCTGTTCCCAGAGTTCAGAGTCCTGGGGTTGAGATCCTGCCTTTAACCTTACAATGGCAAAGATCAGAAATGGCAGAACAAAACTCTGCAAGGATGATTCCTCAGCCTCATTCTAGCAGCCAAAGAAATCCAGATTTTCGAAACATAGAGAAGGGCGGCAGGAGGGGGGGTGGAGATCCTTTCAGTTGTGTGTCAAGTGGATTTGTTTTATTGATTTTCAGTTACGGCTTTGCCACATTTTTTGCTGCACTCTGTCAACAATTTTGCATTATTTAAACCACAATGAAACAGAGTATAAAAGTCCAGGAAGTTTTGAATCAAATTGTTTTGGCTCTTGGTTTCTTAAAACTGAGAGTATTTCATTTAGAGCCTGGCTTATATATATAAGCCATCAGGGGCTAAGGAATGCCAAACCATCAACTCAAAGGCCAGAATTAAAACACTTACAAGAGGAAACAGATTCATTAAATATGAAGAAAACCTACAGAAGCATGTCGGCGATGGAAGGAGTGCCAGCCAGCCCCAGCCAAAAAGCTCCTTCTTGGTCCCCCAAAGTTCGCCTGAATAAAAAGGCCCTGAAGGCTTGCCGGCAGGAGGACGGCAGGGAGGGGGGGTCCACCCCACCAGGGAAGCCATGTGTTGGTTGCCTCCCACCCACCGCAGGGGCTGCCAAGGGTGCTCTGCCCCTGGGAAGGGACTCATCCAGGACTTGGGTCGCACTGCTTTCCTCCCGGCAGGCAGGCAGCCCTCAGGGAAGGCCCTGACCCTCCTGCAGGATGATGGCCCCACAGAGGCATCCCCTGACGCTGTTGAGGGGTGACTCCTGACACGTGCCCTTTCTTGGCATTTTGGACCCCTGGAAAGCCAGCCTGGTTCACAAACAACAACCTCCAGAGCATAGAAAGGATGAGAAAGGGAGCTTGTCCTTTTCTGCTGCCTCTAACGGTAACCCTATTTTGAGAAAGATTGCCAGGGTCATTGCCTGGATAACTTAACCAGCTAACCAATTTATGGATGAGTAATTAAGCAAAACCTCTGGAGCTGCCTGGGAGCTATAAAATCTGCAGGAACCCTGAAGCCAAACCAGGCATGGAGTGGGGGGTTCTTTTGCACCGGCCTCTCCACAGCCGCAGACGGTCGTCGGCTGTCGGGCCTCGTCTCTCTGGCCCCAAATTAACTGTCAGGAGTTTTCAGCTTCATCGGCGCTCGTCTCTGCAATTCCCAACCTTTAAGTCCAAATTTCTCTCTTTGCTCCAGGCTCCCTGCCTCATTAGAAGATGCCAGCAAACAGCGAGAGGAAGAGGGAAAGCAGCCAAAGTCAGAAAGGATTCAGGAAAAAAAGAAAATCTCACCCATTAATTGCTGAAGTCATGATTTCAGAGCCTGAAAGTGCTTTTCCTTTAAGGGAAAGAGCCGGCAAAAAAGCCAGATGGATTTTGGAACCCTGCTTGTGTGTGTGTGTG